TACGCCTCACATTTTAGCTGTAAATGTCATAATACTGTTAGCTTTTACTGCAAAAAAGCACATATTTGGATTCAGAAAAGTCTCACAAGTACAACTGTAGTCCCCATTAACAGTTGTTACAGTGTTTAGGAAAGTTAAAGGGTCAAATATAACGCATTCAACTTTGCAGTTTTTTTCACATTGAAATTTGCCAGATTAGTAATGTTACCTTTGAGACCGTGTGGTAGCCCAGGAATAAGATTTACCCCCATGATGGCATACCATTTGCAAAAGTAGACTACCCAAGGTATTGCAAGTGGGGCATGTCCAGTCTTTTGTAGTAGCCACAAACACTGGCCAAAGTTAGCATTCATATTTTTTTTTTTGTGAAAAAAAGCAAAATTCAGATATTTGGCCAGTGTTTGTGACTAAGTGGCTACTAAAAATGACTGGACATACCCCATTTGCAATACCTTGGTTTGTCTACTTTTGCAAATGGTATGCCATCATGGGGGTAATTTTATTAAAGGACACGGAGGCTCCTATTAGGCATCGGATTGTTTTTTCCCCACTAGACAAACAGCTAGTGTCAAAAGAGATTCGCACACTAGAGGAGAAACGTGCGATATACAGGGTTCCCATTACCGCCCCCGGGTTCCTAAGCAACATCTTCCTAGTACCCAAGAAAGGTGGGGGCACGAGGCCAGTAATAAACTTGCGGCCTCTCAACGCCTTTGTCACATACCATCACTTCAAGATGGAAGGGATACACTGCCTCCGAGACCTGCTAAGACTGGGAGACTGGATGGTAAAATTGGACCTCCAAGATGCTTACCTCACGATACCGATTGCCGAGGACTGTCAACACCTACTTCAATTCCAATGGGAACAAACGATGTGGCGCTTCCGCTGCCTCCCTTTCGGCCTGTCTTCAGCCCCGTGGTGCTTCACCAAGCTGCTGAAACCGGTAGTCGCCCTCCTTCGCAGCAGAGGTGTACGTCTGATCATATATCTCGACGACATGCTGATCATGGCCCAGGACACCCAGCTACTGAACCAACACCTATCCTGGGCGTTGATCCTTCTGCAAAACCTGGGTTTCCTAATCAATTGGGACAAATCGATCCTGCAACCTTCCCACTCGATAGAGTTTCTGGGCTTCGATATAGACGCAATGCACGGAACACTCAGTTTACCTACCGCGAAAGTAAAACTTATCAAGAAGGAAATCCGGAGGACGTTGACTCGACCAGTCTTAACCCTCCGACAGCTAGCCAGGATAATTGGCCTGCTCTCTGCCTCTATACAAGCGATCTTCCCAGGCCCTCTCCACTACAGATCCCTGCAACAGCTCAAAGTAACCCACCTATGCTTGGGTGAATCCTATTCAGATTCTGTACCTCTAGACTGCGCGGCAAAAGAGGAACTGGCATGGTGGCTTCAACACATGGAAGCATGGAACGGCAAGGCAATCTTCGGAACCACTCCGGATCTCGTTATAGAATCCGACGCGAGCAGACTGGGATGGGGGGCTCGTTGTGGTCCTACCTCTACAGGTGGAAAATGGTCTTCAGAAGAAAAAGAACTCCACATCAATGGTTTGGAACTCCTGGCTGGGTAATTTGCCCTACGGAGCCTCCTCGGACACACGACCAATTGTTCCATACTTCTGCGCATGGACAATGTCTCAGCCGTCCGCTACATCAACCACTTGGGTGGCACGAGATCCTCAACCCTCACGAACTTGGCGAAGGAATTTTGGCATTTCTGCCTGAGTCGCAACATATCAGTACAGGCGGAATACCTCCCAGGACTCTCCAACACCGTAGCGGATTGGAACTCCAGGCATTTACGAGACAACAGTGCATGGCGATTGAATCGTACAATATTCCAGAAGCTCCACCAACTCTGGGGACCCATGCACATCGACCTTTTTGCCTCCCGGCTGAATGCTCAACTCCCCTTATTCTTCAGCTGGAGACCGGACCCAGACGCCACGGCAGTGGATGCCTTCCTACAAAATTGTCCGAACACCAGACTATACGCCTTTCCTCCCTTCTCACTCATAGCGCGAACTCTCCTACACTTACAACGCTCCCGAGCATCGTTGGTTTTGATAACACCATTCTGAACGGCACAGCCATGGTTCCCTTCGCTCATGGAAATGTCAATCGACCTCCCCAGATTGATCCCAGGAGGCACGGAATTATTATCAGACCCCGATGGGAACTCTCACTCACTTCTAGTGCAAGGCCATCTCAGACTCCTCACATGGCTCCTCTCCGGGGACCCTGGACCATGCCGAATGTTTCACAAACAACTTTGGACTTTTGGCAGGAGCTTGGGCCCCAGGGACAAGACGATCCTATGCTCATGCCTGGAACACATGGTGTAGTTGGTGCGTGGAACAACACGTGGATCCCATACGTGCTCCTATAAATCAGGTTCTGGGTTTCCTTACTACCCTTTACGATCAAGGCTTGGCTTACCACACCATAAACGTGTACAGGTCGGCGATTTCAGCTGGGCACAACGGTTGGGAAGGTTTCCCGGCAGGGAAGCACTTATGGATCTGTCGTCTTCTACGAGGCATAAAATTTGCACGTCCACCGCAACCACGCTACACGGCCTTATGGGATGTGAATATGGTCCTTCGTTTGTTGCAAGACTGGCCCCCAAACTCGGACCTCACACTCAAACAAGTGTCCGCAAAATTAGCGATGCTTCTGTGTTTAATTTCCTGCAAAAGGGTATCAGACGTGCGGGCCTTGCATATCGATGCACGATCATTCACGCCGGATGGTGTCCTGTTTAATATCACCAGACGTACAAAGTCGAAAATCACTTCAGTCTTCTATCCCTCCTTTCCTCACAACGCTAACCTCTGCCCGGTGGCATGCCTGCGGGAATACGAATTGCGGACCCCAACCACACATGATCTGTTCTTGGCAGTGAGGAAACCTCATCAACCAGTATCCACGGGAACTCTGGCACGCTGGGTGAAATGGATAATGTCAACTGCTAACATCGACACAGCGGTTTACGGAGCACATTCTACTAGAGGCGCTATGGCCCCTAAAGCATTCTCCATTGGATGTAAACTGGAAGACCTCCTCCGCACAGCTGATTGGTCCCGAGAATCGACGTTCAAAGAATACTACTTTAGACCAACAGAGCATATCTCGTCTAGGGTCATCTCACAGTTTTAAACTAGCCTAATAGGAGCCTCCGTGTCCTTTAATAAAATTACCAGATTTTACTAATTACATGACGTAAAGTCATGATTTTATAAAGGACACGGAGGCGAGTATTAGCCCACCCACTGAAAGGTAAGCCATACATGTATTTTTACCACCCACTGGCTCATAAATAGGTTATATAGTGTTTTGGATGTTTAGATTCAAGGTTATATAATAATAATTGTAATTTAGACTGACTTTACTAGAATGAAGTAAACAATGTTTCAGATATAAACGTTTGTTAAAAGACCGGTACAGCATATATGCATGACAACGATATTCGAATATATTTTACCATATATCTCTCTGTCTCCTACAGCTTAACACTAGAGGAGAAACCGCACGTTTCTCCTCTAGTGTGCGAATCTCTTTTGACACTAGCTGTTTGTCTAGTGGGGAAAAAACAATCCGATGCCTAATACTCGCCTCCGTGTCCTTTATAAAATCATGACTTTACGTCATGTAATTAGTCAAATCTGGTCATTCTTATTCCTGGGTTACCATACAGTCTCAAAAGGCAACATAACCAATCTGGCAAATTTCAATGTGAAAAAAATGATATGCAAACATTATATTTGACTCTCTAACTTTCCAAAACACCAGAAAAACTGTACATGGGGGGGGGGGAGGGGTACTGTTATACTCGGGAGACTTCACTGAACACAAAAATAAGTGTTTTAAAACAGTAAGACATATTACAACAATATCGTCAGTAAAAGTGCCGTCCGTATGTGAAAAATGCAAAAAACTTCACTTTTACTAAAAATATCATTGTTGTAATACAAGTTACCATTTTGAAACACTATTTGTGTTCAGCAAAGTCTCCCGAGTAAAACGGTTACATATATAAATAACAAAATACAGATAGAATAAAATTACATATGTATATATAATATTTAAATTTTGTTAAAAATATTTTATTCATTATTGGAATTATACATCTATATCTCATGTCATTCGAAGTGTATTTTAATACTAATGTATGTGCTTATATAAATAATAAGATACACTACATATGACGTTACACACACCTGATTTGCCGGGGAGGGCTGCCTGGGCTGTCAGGCAGTCTTCCTGAAGAGTATCGCGGGGGCTTAAGCCGTTACGGCGTTCTATGCCGCCGCAACGGCTTTAATGCCCATTTTATTCGGAACGGCATAGAACGCCGTAACGGCGTTAAGGGGTTAATATCTATTTTCCCATTTTTGAAGTCTTTATTTTATATTTCTTTTGGGCACAATTTTTTTTTCTTATTTTTCATTTAACCCCTTAAGGACACATGACATGTGAGACATGTCATGATTCCATTTTATTCCAGAAGTTTGGTCCTTAAGGGGCTAAAGTAAGTTTGTTGTCCACAAACCATCACATTCAGATGCTACATATTAAATGTATATATGGTGCTGTGAAAATGCTAGCAAATCTATAGATAGAAATATACTTTCCTGACATTACATCTCACCTAAAGAGGTATTTTGGATATAATGTGTGCAATTAATTCTGTGAATGGTGTTGTGGGATGTTGCTGCATCATTTGGATGTGTTGAGTTTACTACTGTGCCAAATAAAAGGTCAAAACAAGTGTATAATTGAATAGTATTTCATGTATGCATTTGCTAGATTAGACCAATGTATTGATTATATTTTATCTTCTTTAAAGAAATACTACTGTAGTGGTTATGGTGCCAAAAGTGCCCTAGCATCATCACACTGTTATCTGCCAAAATGATTTAAAATGGTTTGATAAATGATGTATCCACTTCCAATTGCGGAAATACTGCCAGTGTGGCTGTGCCAGGGCCCGCAACACTGCTGCTCTTCAACAGCGCGGCTGGGCCCCTCTCATACCTGCAGCCTGTGCTGGGAGGAAGTGAGAGCTAGTCATTTCCTCCCAGATAACATTGACCCATGCGGGAGGAAGAGAAGAAGGCAGAATCTAAGAGAGGAGGGTGAGAACCAGACTCTACCTCCCAACAGCCTCAGCCAGCAGAAGCCTCCCTCCTGCACCCATAAGGTAGTAAATTGGAGGGTGGCTACAATTTGACCGGTGTGTGAGTCATTGTGTTACTCTGTGACTGTATAAGTGTCATTGTGTGTCTGAATATCTGAATGTGTCTCAGTGTATATATATATATCTGCATCAGTGTGTGTGTATCTGTATACATATCAGTCTGTGCTAGTGTGTATGTGTATATGTGCATACATCTCAAAACACCAACACTGTACACAAATACACCCCTGTATTAAAATGTCCACTCTAAATACAAAAAGACACCTGCATTCACACTCACATACTCCATATAAAAACATGCTGACATTCAAACACCACTTAGTGCTAAATACAACCCTGCAAGGATAGGCAAATGGGAGATCCCAAGCTGGCAAACCATTGTGGGAGCCGATGGGAAACTACCTTTTGGTTACTGTTGCTTTGGGGGGGTGAGGGGTGGCCCAAACAAGTCCTTGGACCAGGGCCCTCTCTATGTTAGCTCTGCCGCTGTCCACCCCGCATCCAGCTTTTTTCTGCAGAAGTTGAAATACTACATTCAGCTAAGCACAGCAGATCAAAGACAAAGCTCTCCATCTGAATTCACTCAGCTGCTCTTAATCAATGGGTGCAGCACTGCATGACTCTGCTTTGCTTGGTAGAGTTGATGAGATTCCGGAGAAGTAGAACCCTGAAAGCAGTGGCTGCGGTACCCAGGTACTTAAAACCCACGTTTTAAACACAAAAAAAACCCTCTTTAAAATGATTTTACAAATTACACTGGGGTGGTGTCAGGACATTCCTGGAATCCACAGCCACTATGCATAGCTGTTGTAGTTATGGTGTTTGGAGTGATTACACGCCATGTTAATCATGACAGCAGCATTTAACAATCAATATCAACTCTATTCCCACAGGAATGCATGAATTATTGAAATTATTCAAGGAGGGAAGACGTGTCAGGCTGCTCACAAGAATGTGGGTTAACCGCTATACGTAAGAATGAAAATACAAATGAACCAAGGGGAGACTCTGAGGTAGAGAGAATTGAAACCTCTCGAGTCTACCCTCTAGCACGAGGAGAACAACGCTTATATAAAATAATATTAAGACATAACTTTTAATACATTTTCTTAAAATCCCTGATAGGGAATGTAGAAAATCATAGCGATCCTGATAGGTGCTAGCTCGCGTAAATATACAGGCTTGAAAAATTCAAATTGTTGCTGTGGGCAGAAAGGGGGGGGAAAAAAGAAAACGGGAAAAAAATCCTTATAGATAGAGTCTGTCCATAACCGGTAACGGGGTAAACAGGGAAGGAAGGAGCAAAGGGAGTACTAATATATGGTCCAAAACAGCTGTACCCTGTAGCTGAAGCCCTACTCCCACAACCCAACACCAAATGAAAAATACAAAAGTGAAGTCAAAATTAAACTAGCAAATATATCTTAGCGAGGTGGCTTGTCTCGTTCTGTAAAGGTTACTACAGCAATATCCCTAGTCTGAATGCCTGACCCTCGCTACCAAAATCCCAATGCGCTTTTTGCCAAGTGCTTGCTCCCCTCCACCTCGCTAAGCTATATTTAATATACATTTTAATTTTGACTTCACTTTTGTATTTTTCGTTTGGTGTTGCTGGGGGTTGTGGGAGTAGGGCTTCCTTTCCTAGTTTGGAAGTTCCACTGTGGATACATGGGAGGTTATTTGAGCATTAGATTTTTTTAAGTGGTGCCCTCGAAGGCACAGGATTTGTACAGGGAGTGCAGAATTATTAGGCAAGTTGTATTTTTGAGGATTAATTTTATTATTGAACAACAACCATGTTCTCAATGAACCCAAAAAACTCATTAATATCAAAGCTGAACATTTTTGGAAGTAGTTTTTAGTTTGTTTTTAGTTTTAGCTATGTTAGGGGGATATATGTGTGTGCAGGTGACTATTACTGTGCATAATTATTAGGCAACTTAACAAAAAACAAATATATACCCATTTCAATTATTTATTATTACCAGTGAAACCAATATAACATCTCAACATTCACAAATATACATTTCTGACATTCAAAAACAAAACAAAAACAAATCAGTGACCAATATAGCCACCTTTCTTTGCAAGGACACTCAAAAGCCTGCCATCCATGGATTCTGTCAGTGTTTTGATCTGTTCACCACCAACATTGCGTGCAGCAGCAACCACAGCCTCCCAGACACTGTTCAGAGAGGTGTACTGTTTTCCCTCCTTGTAAATCTCACATTTGATGATGGACCACAGGTTCTCAATGGGGTTCAGATCAGGTGAACAAGGAGGCCATGTCATTAGATTTTCTTCTTTTATACCCTTTCTTGCCAGCCACGCTGTGGAGTACTTGGACGCGTGTGATGGAGCATTGTCCTGCATGAAAATCATGTTTTTCTTGAAGGATGCAGACTTCTTCCTGTACCACTGCTTGAAGAAGGTGTCTTCCAGGAACTGGCAGTAGGACTGGGAGTTGAGCTTGACTCCATCCTCAACCCGAAAAGGCCCCACAAGCTCATCTTTGATGATACCAGCCCAAACCAGTACTCCACCTCCACCTTGCTGGCGTCTGAGTCGGACTGGAGCTCTCTGCCCTTTACCAATCCAGCCACGGGCCCATCCATCTGGCCCATCAAGACTCACTCTCATTTCATCAGTCCATAAAACCTTAGAAAAATCAGTCTTGAGATATTTCTTGGCCCAGTCTTGACGTTTCAGCTTGTGTGTCTTGTTCAGTGGTGGTCATCTTTCAGCCTTTCTTACCTTGGCCATGTCTCTGAGTATTGCACACCTTGTGCTTTTGGGCACTCCAGTGATGTTGCAGCTCTGAAATATGGCCAAACTGGTGGCAAGTGGCATCGTGGCAGCTGCACGCTTGACTTTTCTCAGTTCATGGGCAGTTATTTTGCGCCTTGGTTTTTCCACACGCTTCTTGCGACCCTGTTGACTATTTTGAATGAAACGCTTGATTGTTCGATGATCACGCTTCAGAAGCTTTGCAATTTTAAGAGTGCTGCATCCCTCTGCAAGATATCTCACTATTTTTGACTTTTCTGAGCCTGTCAAGTCCTTCTTTTGACCCATTTTGCCAAAGGAAAGGAAGTTGCCTAATAATTATGCACACCTGATATAGGGTGTTGATGTCATTAGACCACACCCCTTCTCATTACAGAGATGCACATCACCTAATATGCTTAATTGGAGTAGGCTTTCGAGCCTATACAGCTTGGAGTAAGACAACATGCATAAAGAGGATGATGTGGTCAAAATACTCATTGCCTAATAATTCTGCACTCCCTGTATTTTCAGCCTGAATTATTGAGTTTAGTGGACTTGTGTTCAATATACATATACGGACCACATTTCTTCCTTTCAATCTATCTCAGTCTGTTAGTCTTGCGGACCTTTAATAAACGAGAGCAGACTGTAAAGAAATTAGTTACAATTTTATACTGCCACTTCTGTTTAAGGATGCTTTGTGTCTGTCATGCCAGGATTTGATATGTGCCGCTAAGGATTCTCACACCGGTCTTATTACTTACAAACAAAGACCCAAAATCCAAGGAGATATCGGACTGCCGTTTTAGGGTCAAGAAGGAATATTTTCCTAGTTTGTTGCAAAATTGGAAGTGCTTCAGACTGGGGTTTTTTTTGCCTTATTTTGGATCAACAGCAAAAACATGTGAGAAAGACTGAACTTGATGGAAACAAGTCCCTTTTCAGCTATGTAAAAATGTTTTTGCTAAAGAGGGCACGGTTAATAGAAATATGTTTGTTTGCACTTCCTGCATTACAAGATTCCACAGTGACACTTGATAAAAGCCAGCTCTTAATCTGTTTGACAAAGTTGCAATTAAGTGAAAATTACCGTCTGGCTATTTAGCCTCAGGTGAATTCACTTGTTTCTACTGATTGGACATTAAATTTCATCATGGTGTGTCTTGCATAACGATTGTAAGGTTTCTACTGATTGGTCTGCTGGTACCTGATGTTGGACTCCTGATTTTGGCTATTTCGCACACAAGGAGCAAGACTAAGAGATGTGACACACCTGTGAAGATAATTTATGAATAGATAGAACTCAATGGCCATAGAGAGATATTTATGAAGGGGGTTTATTCACTAAACAACAATTTGTAGCAAATTAAAAACCAAATTGCTAAATTTAGGATAGAATAACCAAACTGAGTTGGAGAATTTTTCACTAAACTCTGAGTGCAGTCTGGATGTAAAAATGTATATATAATATATATTTATTGAAAATCACCAGATTTGCTCTGGATTTGAGACTCAGATTTACGAAAAGGTAAGTTGGGTAGAAATCCTGTGATTTCCATCGAGTGATGTACAAGCCATTTCGTAGAATCTAACATTTGTTTTATGTTCAAAAGGCATTACTATGCAAAGTATTAAGTTTGCATATTTATCAAACATCAGATATGACAGATCTTGCACAGAACGAAGCAAATCCACAAAATATAGGAGAGAGAGAGAAAAAAAAATACACACACACACACACACACACACACAATGTGTGGCTGATCTCTTGGCAAGCCCTCTCCTTTTTCTTTCAATTTTGACTGAAATCTGCACTTTTTGGAAAAAAAAAAAAAAAAGCACACATTCTTCACAGATGAAGCATTTTCTGCAAGTTTAATTGCTTTAGGGGTTTGAAGTTCCCTTTAAATTTTTCCATTCGTTATTTCTCGAGCTATTTGTCAGGTACAGTTTATACAGTAAAGCTTTATTCTTCATATATTCCTACAGTTTTTTTGTGCCTTCAAAAAGATACACTATGGTCAAATGTATTGGGATACATCTTAATTACTGAAAGCAGGTATTTCAATCAGACCCATTACCACTGGTGTATAAAATTAAGCACCTAGTAATGTCAGTTCGCAAAATATAATCCCTGCTAGATATTCCACTGTAAACCGTAAATGGTATTATTAGAAAGTTACCAACACTTTGCTGATTCCACAGCTTAAAGGGACAATGTAGACACCCAGACCACTTCAGCCTATTGAAATGGTCTGGGTGCAAACTCCCATCACCCTTAACATGTTATTATTAACAAGTGGCTGTCTAGGTCTAGCAGCCGTCTGCAGTGGAGGAGCGTGGGCGGAGCTGAGCCAGCGCCAAGGGAAATCAGCGTTGGAGCCAGGTAAGTGACAGAAGGGGTTATTAACCCCTTATGCACCACGGGGGTGGGCCTTGACAAAGGGGAAAGCGAGTTTGTTTTCCTGGCACTATAGTTTCCCTTTAAGAGTTTCAAACTTTAATTCGCATTATTATCATCACCACAAAAGCTATGGCCAAGCAGCTGCATGCAAGCCTCAAACCACCACATACAAATGCAAAGTATTGGATAAAGTGGCGTAAAGCATGCCACCACTGGACTCTGGAGCAGTGGAAACGTGGTCTGTGGAGTGACAACTCCTCCTTCCCTGTTTGGCAGTCTGAAGGGCGGGTCTGGGTTTGATGGATGCCAGGCAAACATTACGTGCCTGACTGCATTGTGCCAACTGTAAAGTTTGACAGAGCAGTGAGTGATAATGGTATGGAACTGTTTTTCCAAGGTTTATGCTGGGCCACTTACTTCCAGTGGAGGGAAATCTTAATGCTTTAGCATATCAAAACATTTTGGACAATGCTATGCTTCCAACATTGTGGGACGAGTTTGGGAAATGCTTTACTGTACATATGGGTACAAATTGCCACAAATACACTCTTACAGAAAGTTACAGAAAGGCTTCCAAGAAAAGTGGAAGCTGTTATATTTGCAAAAGAGAGGACCAAAGGAGGGACCACCTACTTATTAATGTCTCTGAATTTAGAATGTGATTTGTGTCCCAATACATTTGTCTATATAGTGTATATACCACTAATACTGTTTAAATATGGAGTGCCTTCTCCGCCCTGCTTCCCACACACAAAAAAAAAGGTAGTAAGAAGACACCATAATTCTGATGACTTTTTAGAGCTATGTAGAAAAGTTGGGTAAATCGAATGCACTACACCAAAAAGTAAATAAAACACTAGCAAAAGGCACCAAAGTGCTACAATTGAAAAGATGGCAAAACTGATAATTTATAAGAAAATTGTTGTACAGAATTTATAGATTTGTCCTAGTGTGCCCACTCAGCTGCCTATACATTGTCAGTTAATATGCTCTTCCCAGAGAATATATTCTTTCGGAACCCCAAATGAGGACAGGTATGTTATATTAGAAAGTCATGGATCATCAGCATACTATGATGCTTCCCAAGAACACGTTGTTCTGTAACGCAATATATCATACATGTACAGTAAAGCCTAACTTAGTTACGCACGGCTAGCTAGAGAATTAGACTATTAAATTACCTAATGACAGCTGGCTGGCAACTATTCGTGATTATCTGCTGGATGATTTAGGTTCGTGGCTATTAGTGTCTGTTGATCTCCATGCAGTGGCTATTAACTGCACGAAGGTATCCATTTCCCATTTGTTGCCCTTTTCTGGCTGGTTTGTACGTAGTAAGCAAATTTAAAAAAAAAAAAAAAATGTAATTCTTAGCTGTTGTTGAAGGCTGCTAGTTTTCTGCTGTGGCAGACTCCTGGTTTTCAATTTCTTTTTTGTAACCCCTTAAGGACCAAACTTCTGGCATAAAAGGGAATCATGACATGTCACACATGTCATGTGTCCTTAAGGGGTTAACCTTCTCTGCAGTTGCCTGTTCTGCTTTCATAGCTAGGCACCTACTCCTTAAGGTACACTATAGGCACCCAGACCACTTCAGCTAATTAAAGTAATCTGGGTGCAGTGCCCTGTCAGTTTAACCCTGCATTTGTGATAATTGCAGTTATTGATAGACTGCAATCATTACTTTGCAAGGTTAACACCACCTTTAATGGCTGTCTACCAGAGAGTCACTAGAGGCGCTTCCATGTTGTTAGGATACACTCTGCATAAGGACATCCAGCGTCAGCTAAAACCCCATAGGAAAGCATTAGGTACCTGAAATCGGGGAGAAACATTGCCGCTGGATTCAGGTGCATGACAGGAGGGCTTTTAACCCTTTCTGCACTGAAGTGGGGGATGCATGAGTGAGGGCGGTACTATAGTACTAGAAATACACCTTTTAAGCTTGGACAGACACTAAGCAAGATGTGTTGCTGTCCAGAGATCTTTTGTACAGTAACTAAAATTAGGCTCATACACTTACAAGAACACAGAAGCAGAGTTAGTCATGTGACACGGCACTCTAAACCATAACTACTATAGTGTCATAGTCATTAGGGTGCCAGCATGTCTATGGAGCCATCTCTTGGTACGGTGTTAAACTATTTTCATCCTCCAGTTCAGACAATAAATGTCATCTCATTATGGACCAAGTACATAAGGGGACTCTCAAAATGGACTTTGCTAATATAATGTAACATGCTAAACGAGATGCCTATGGGGCACTCGATTGGTGTCAAAACTACTCAAAAAAAGGTTTGACAGAACTATGGAACACTCCCTGGGGCAAGGGGATACCAACCAAACCACAGCAGACTGTAAAGGTCATAGTGCTTACAGGGCCTCTTTAGACTAGGTGTTTTATGCTTAGAATGCCCCTCTAGGCTAATGTTTTTATGCTTAGAGTCCCATTAAATATACTTATATGGGTAGAAGTGCCATACAGAAAACTAGCACATTAAATTAAAGGGCTACTCCAAGCCTTTTCCTTATTTTCTAAATTGTGTTTATAATGCCCTATTGGGCACTAGTCAGTAGGTCATCCCTTACGTTAGAAAAAGTTAGCTTGAATCCAGCCCTGAGCCAAGATCATGCTCATGTCACTGCTTCTCTCTCCAAGGTCCAATAAAATGCCACTGTTGGGGCTCAGGTGAGTATGTGTGCCAGTCTGGGCCAATTCATGTTTTAATTAAAGAGGACTATAATGCTTCAGGACCATTCACTATAAAATATGCCTACTATAATGTGCAGCCCACCAAATCAAATACATGATGTGTCTGGAAAGATGACAGTCCTGGCAGACCTGCTTATATACGGAAATTCCCCAATTCTCCTGCAGGAATGTTAGCTGCACATGAATAAAATAAAAAGGGCAGAATTAGCACAGTCTGCAGGAGCTAACGTGTCTCCCAGCCAAGAACCACCTCCATGCTTTACACTCCAACCCCCATCAATCCATCAGCGACTCCCCCCAGCCTAATCAAGTCCTCGCCGCCAGTTACTAGGGAAAGAGAAATCAGACAAACGCAGCTAAGCAACCCTCGCAATTAAGAACGCAGCCCTGGGAATTCTGGAATCAATTATCTCCTCAGCGTTCTATCGCCGCCCACGTGACCCATTTTACCAGAAGTTACCAGGGACGCTGTGCCTCCAGGGGAAGAGGGTGGAGAAGAGATTAACGCGATTGGATGAAATAGTGGAGTAGGCGGAGCTTCGCGTGCTTCCCATTGGCTGTTAACGTCACTGGCTGGCTTAGAGCCAGACTGACATCTAGCCCTGCTATTGGTGTAGAGTGGAGGCATGGCTGTGGGGTGATCCCAGCGTGCCTATTAATATCTAGTGCAGGGCTGGGAGTGTGTTGAAGTCGTGGGAAGAACATGATAGGAGAATGTGTGCTTTGCTGGGGCTTGCTGCACAATGCCTGGATGCTTTCGTTGAGGTCATTAGTCGAAGCAAGTGGAGAATTGGCCCCTAGCCATGCAAACTGGGGTTATTCCAGTTTTTATATCTAATCCTAAATAGCAAAGTAAATACAGTCAACAGACTCAATACTGCTATCGCTTCCACTTCGACTGTGACTCCCATGTCCTTGAGATGTGGAAATAAAGCCTATTTCCTGCTGTAAAATAAGAAATAAGACAGAAAAAATAATCCCACACAGCATTGACATTAAATTAGGAGGATTGAACCCCTAAGGGATGGAAGCAATTGTACAAATTCTGAAACAAAACCTAGACTTCGAGTCAAATGTCTGTAGAATCATAATTCACCTCTTTCATATTAAGCGCACCCACACTTTTTATTTATCATTTTGTTCAGGAGAAACAGGGTTTTCATTTCACATCCAATATTTGTATATGAAACATACTGTAATATGAATTAAATTAAAATTGAAGATATTTTTTCCCCACACTCTGCATGGCATTTTAACTGTAAATGTCATAATAGTGTTAACTTTTACTGTAATAAAATACACATATTTGTATTTAGCATTGTCTCACAAGTTACTCAGGTATTGGTGATCGTTCGCTAAACTGGTTTCGATCGTATGTATCGGATCGCTCGCAATATGTGTCCATTTCTGACAGCGACTCCCTCCCTCTCCTAGTCACGTGTGGTGTTGCCCAAGGTTCCATTCTCGGCCCCCTACTATTTACATTACTTATAAATGATCTGCCTAATGTCTGCAAATCCTCAAATGTACACATGTACGCAGATGACACGGTAATCTATCTACCGCAGCTTGAGGCTGTGCTCCAAGACCAGTTTACAGAGGTAGAAAAGTGGATCGCAAAAAACAAACTCTTCCTGAACACTGACAAAACTGTCACAATGATCTTTGGAACAGTGCCTAAATTACACAAATTACACAATTCCCACCTATCCATCAAAACAAATTTAAATGGCACACTGACCGCAGTCCACTCTTTCAAATACTTGGGTATGATGTTAGACCCCAATCTATCTTTTGGCCTGCATATAGAAAAGCTTGTATCTAAACTTTATCCAAAACTAGGTGCCCTGTACAGAAACAAATCCTGCCTAAGCCCTACAGTAAAGGAAAAGATTGTACTGCAAATGATGCCAATCATTGATTATGGGGATGTAGTATGTGCATCTGCATCGCAATCCCACATTAAAGGACCACTTTAGGCACCCAGACCACTCAGGTGGTCTGGGTGCCTGGTCCAGCTAGGTTTAACCCTTTTTTCTATAAACATAGCAGTTTCAGAGAAACTGCTATGTTTATAAATGGGTTAATCCAGCCTCTAGTGGCTGTCTCATTGACAGCCGCTAGAGGGCTTCCGCGCTTCTCACTGTGATTTTCACAGTGAGAAGACGCGAGCGTCCTTAGGAAAGCATTGTGAATGCTTTCCTATGGACTGGCTGAATGCGCGCGCAGCTCCTGCCACGCATGCGCATTCAGACGAGGAGGAAGAGAGCTCCCCGCCCGGCGCTGGAGAAAGAGGTAAGTTTAACCCCTTCCTCCCCGCAGAGCCCGGCGGGAGGGGGTCCCTGAGGGTGGGGGCACCCTCAGGGCACTATAGTGCTAGGAAAACGAGTATATTTTCCTGGCACTAAAGTGGTCCTTTAATAAACTCAACACATTGTATAACTCGTTCTGCCGATTTGTGCTACAATGTAATTACAGGACTCACCATTGTGACATGCTAAAAGAACTAAACTGGCTGTCGCTGGAATCCAGACGCACCCTTCATCTTTCCAGCCTTGTGTTTTAGAGCTTTTCTGGGAAACTCCCACCCTACCTGAACCCAATGCTTTCCTCAGCTGTTCCCACTTCCTGTAACCTCCGATCCAGTACCAACACTTTACTTAGTCTACCTCAATACAAAAAGAAAGCAGCCCGATCCTCCTTCTCCTACAGAGCACCGCAATTGTGGAACGACCTCCCGCACAATTTAAAATCTTCCCTAAGCCTAAAGTCCTTTAAGAGATCCCTCTCTACATACCTCAAAACAGAATGCACCTGTCATGGTTGATTATACGTTTCCTGCCTGTTCTATGTTAAATATTGTATTAATATTGTTTTTGTATTTTATTGTACCCTAATTGTAACAATGCAATGATTTGTGGACCCAGGACATACTTGAAAACGAGAGAAATCTCAATGTATCTTTCCTGGTAAAATATTTTATAAATAAATAAATAAGTACAACAGTACCTTCCCTAACTTCACTGTGTACAGGATTTATGGGGTTTTGGAAAGTTACCGAGTCAAAAATAGGGCTTTCCCCATTTCAGTATTTACATATTGAAATTTGGCAGATTGGTTTGCTGGGCCTACATTGCCTTTGCATACCATTTGTAAAAGTAGACTTTTTTAGTAGCCAATCGGGAAGGAAAACTTGTTATATTTTTAATCTTTGATCATTTTGATTTGTTAAAGGACCACTATAGTGCCAGGAAAACAAACTCGTTTTCCTGGCACT